AGACGGCGATCAAACAGTGTCGGCAGGAGCTGAGCCTGCGGAACCGCGAGCGGTGGTGTCTGGAGATACAGATCATGAAGAGGTGAGCCTGCCCCGGCCCGCAGTCTGAGTGCGGGGGGCGGGGGGCGGGGGAGCCGCTCTCAAGCACTCGGAAGTGGAAGTCTGACTCCACGGACTGCTCCCCAGACGGGATCTGTTCTGCTAGGAGTCGGTGCTGCCGCCTTTTATTTACCCCTTCTGTTTGTTTCATTGGAAATAAAGATGAGTAATTTGCTGCTGCTTCTGCAGAGACAGTGGGAAAACAAAGGTGCTTATGCTATTGTGATGGGGCGTGATCAGAGAAGTCCCCCTCATATAGGTCCCCATGAGCTGATCATGCCACTGATGCCCCCTCTTGCTCTCTGGGGCTCCCCACCACCCTGTCCTGCTGGGCCAAATCCTCCCGTCTCCTTCCGACAAGGCAAAGAGTTGGGGTAACTGCTCCCCTGCAGAAGAATGCAGACACTGAACCACGTCAGCTCTGGGAGGACTCAATTCTGCAACTCAGCACCCAAGAAACTACCACTCCAAAAGGGATCAAAACTCCGAATAGAGCTGTCTTCCTGAGTGTAAAAGTTTTACACAAGGAAAGCTTAGTCTGCAGAAGCGAAGAGCAAGGGGGGATTTGATAGCAGCCTTCAACTTCCTGAAGGGAGGTTCCAAAGAGTAGTGATGGATGACAGAACAAGGAGCAATGGCCTCCAGTTACAATGTGGGAGGTCTAGGTGGGATATTAAAAAATTAATGGAGATTGCCTATCTCCTAGAACTGGAAGGGAGGTCATTGAGTCCAGTCCCCTACCTTCACAGCAGGACCAAGTACCATCACTGATGACTATTTGCCCCAAATCCTTACATGGCCTCTACAAGGATTGAACTCACAACCCTGGGTTTAGCAGGCCAATGCTCAAACCACCAGCTATCCCTCCCCAAAGCTGGGAAAAACTATTTCCCTAGGAGGGTGGTGAAGCATTGGAATGGGCTCCCTAGGGAGGTGGTGGAATCTCCATCTCTAGAGGTTTTTAAGTCTTGGCTTGACAAAGCCCTGGCTGGGTTGATTTAGTTAGGATTGAGCTTGCCTTGGGCAGGGAGCTGGTCTTGATGACCTCCTGAGGTCTCTTCCAGCTCTAGGATTCTGTGAAAGCTCACAAGGATGTTAACCCTCTTTATTCAATGAGAGAGAGAGAGAGATACACATAGTGGTTTGCTCCCCCCAAGTAGCAATTATTTACACTGGGCCTGATAATAAAAAAACACTTTTGTTTACATGCTACTTTCTGTACTTACTAAGTGGCTGCAAGTGAAAACATATCAAAGTAAGTTACTAAATTAAAATGAAAAGTCTCAGAGGGGCAGCCCTATTAGTCTGTAACTTTAAAATTGAGTAATCCTGTGGCATTTTAGAGACTAACAAAAAATACACAGTATCATGAGCTTTCATGGGCAAAACCCCCTTCATCAGATGAATAAAAAGCATACAGCTAGTTCTAATCTGCTAAGAAACTTGTTACATGCAACTTCTTACCCATGCGTAATGCAGGAAAGGCCTTCCCAAAACTGCCTACACTCTCCAGCCACCCAGGAAGTTTGGGGCTGGGGCTTCCTGTGGACAGGGGTTTCTCTGGATGAGAGCAGCTCCTGTCCACGGTAAGGATGTTAAAGACTAGTTGATTATCCGATAAGCATTTGCTTATCGGATAGTTAGTTGACTAGTTGATCCCCCCCCCTTGCTTCCGCAGCAAAAGGGAGGAGGGAAGAGGGGGTGCTTCAAGGGGCAGCACCTCACAGTTGATCCCTGGCTGACCTTGGGTTCTGGGGAAGTGCCGGATGGAACCCTTGGTCAGCTGGGGATTTCCCAGCTGACCCTGGGCTCTGCATGGCATTTCAAATCAGCAGCATGGAGCCCAGGGTCAGCGGGGGACCCCAGACTCCATGCTGCACTGCTGCTTTGAAATGCACAGGGGCCCCCTCTGGGGACTCTTGTACATTTCAAAGTAGGAATGCAGAAGTGCCTGTTGACTAGTTGATAGAAATTCGATTGACTACTCGACCAGTAAATTAACCGCAATTTGACATCCTTAGTCCCAAATCAGCAGCATGGAGCCCAGGGTCAGCGGGGGACCCCAGACTCCATGCTGCACTGCTGCTTTGAAATGCACAGGGGCCCCCTCTGGGGACTCTTGTACATTTCAAAGTAGGAATGCAGAAGTGCCTGTTGACTAGTTGATAGAAATTCGATTGACTACTCGACCAGTAAATTAACCGCAATTTGACATCCTTAGTCC